ATGTTCGATGAAATGACATTCCTTTTTGGAATTGATTCAAACATACTTTTTACATCGTCATACAAGCAACTGACATACATGTTCAAAAGTGAATTATATACTATTTTGCTAGGATACAAATGGGACCGAGTAATATGACTATGAACGGCTTTACCTATCTGAAGACTTCGAGTTTGGACGTAGGCTTTTGAGGATCGAAGAGTATGTATAGGAATCAGATGGAAAAGAGTTAGATTTCATTTGGGAGTATAGCTTCATGAGGCATGTTATTACAGATGAATTAATGATGATTGTGTTCCAAACCACGATTGTTGGAATGGGAATTTCGTCGAACAGTTGGCGGGCAAGATGGGGTTGACCTTCCCGACATAATTAGCTTAGACGCTATCGAACTGTTTTAGGTTTGGGATGTTGGTGCAACTCATCTTTGTTTAGGTAATTGTAATGAAGAAGCATGTAGTGGTTGACGAGTGGGGGATGAAGAAGAAAAAGAGTTCATGGAGAAAGAAAGAAGGAGAGGAGACGATGACACTGTAAGGTGAATACGTATTGAGTTATCTGACAATCAAAGAAACATTTGCCTTTACCTATAGTCATCGAGTTACCTGCAACTTTCTTTCTCTTCTCTAACAGTATAAGTGTTCGACTGAACTGGGAAGAAGACGACGACTAATATAGGCGTTAATAATATGTTGAGAAAAGGTCTTTTAAGGTAAAATGACATAAATACCCTCATGTTCAAGTCAAACTGGGGCAGGTTAACGTTGGAATGGACGGACATCCAACTCGGGGACTAATCGTGTGCAACTTAACATCCGTAGGTACCATTTGAGGGAAAAAACCTTCGTAGGGACTACTTTAAGGAAAAAAACAAAACATAAAGGACCATTCGCATAATTTGTTCTTGGATTTAATATCAATTCCATGATATATTTTGCGGAAAGGAATATTGGATTTAATATCAATTCCATGATATATTTCGGGAAAGGAATATTGGATTTAGTATCATATCTTAAAAATTTGTTCTCATGTTTGCTTTTGAGTTTATCATAGATAGTTTGTGGTTATCTTTTTGTACTTTCTAGGAATCATGTTCTCGAATATTAAGTTTCAATTGTTTTTTAAAAAAAGTACTAAAAGTCTAAAACATCTTGATTTAAAAAGTTAAAACTTCATAATCTGTTTAGTAACAAGGTTTTAATAACTTATTAGACAATATTTAATTACGCATTTAAATCATGCATTAATCATGATAAGCTTAAAAAGAAAAATGACATGTTTTGTGCAAGAAAGATATGAGAAAAATGACATGTTTTGTGCAAGAAAGATATGATACAAATTATTTTCAATTTGTATTTGGAGATGTTGCACGACTACATAGTTATATATATATGATAGAGTCAATAGTAGTATATTTGATAGATATAAAATATAAAAATTAAAACTCCCAAGTCAAATAAAAAACACTACATAAAATAATTTTTATGCAGTGTAAATTAAAATTTAATTTTGTATTTTCGAATAAAATTAGTTTTTTAATCGAATTTTTTATTCTTTTTTAGTTTGAGTTAAAACAAAAAAGTTTACTTAAATATAAATTAAAATTAAAATCTACATTAATAAATGAAAATATTTTTGTCATATGTTACATTTTTATTGATTTGGTCACATGTCATTTTGTGTTTATTTTCGTTTAAATTTTTTCCATATGATATTTTATGGTGATTCATTTTTATTAAGTTTCATATAATATTTAATTAAATGTATTAATTGCAATAAGTTTGCTTTTCAAATGCTATAAATACTCTCTCATTTTCCAATTCCAACCCCCGATTTGATTTTTTTTTCTTTTTTTGTTTTGTTGTTGTTTTTAATTCTTATTATTATTATTATTATTATTATTATAAATTTCGATAAAAATATAAAATCCGGACCACATTAAAAATTTGGACAACATTATAAAATTATAAAATTCAAACGACTATATAAAACGGAACAAAAACAAAGTTTATCTTTATTTATCACATATATTAATTAATTTAGTATTACATTTGTGTGATGCGTTATGCGGACTGAAAACATTTAGTTGAGCAATTGTATAGTCATGCTGCCGAATATTTTGATTTGTATATACAGAGAAGTTGTCACACCCCCAAACCAGAATGGCGGAAACATTCGGGGGTGGATGACTTCACGTAGTATCACAACAATTGAATATTGTAAAGAAAGTAACACAACCATCATATATATATAAAATGAAAACGTATATTGTTGCGTTATACATGTTATCAAAAGAATATTACAATATGATGATAAATGTTCAATAATAAAAACATTCTTTGTGTTCCTTCTCCCAAAAGCTGGTAGTTACCTGTATCACTGATTCCCTAAAAAATACAAGTGGTTTTGAAAAGTGTCAACAATTAAGTTGGTGAGTTCATGAGTGTTTCGAGTTGAAAAGTACATCCTTTTTGGTAGTAAATTGGTAAACGAGGTTTTTAGAAAGTCCAATATTTTCTTGTAAGATGATTCAAAAGTTTCCAAAGTTGGAATGTGTTAGTATCTTTTATACTCAAATGATAAAAACAACTTTGTATGAAAAATAATGTAGAAAACTGCAATGCACATATGAATCTCGTAAATCAATCTTGTTTTATACTTTTTATGTGAGTTTTATAACCATACTATTGACACTGACGGCTTGTAACAACATTCTTCAAGTGTTGCAGTGTTATGACATTTGTCACCCCAGACCTGCCGGTCTAACTATAGCTAGTAGTTTAGGTGCGGGATTGTCAATCCCGTATAGATCTATACACAAGTATCACGCTCTCCCTCCAAGAGATTATGGTATATAATACAGGACTTGAAATGCATACAAAAATGTACGTTGAAGTTTGAATATCTCACATTGCCTAGTATAAGTAGATTTACAATGAAATGACCTTACTTCTTTGAAAGTGTTTCGTTTTTCAAGATGTATATGTAAAATGTAGTACTGACTTGTTAACTATACCCATTATAGTTTTTCAGATAGTATGTTCCATTTAGTAGAAATAACTTAGTGACATAATCGCTCTTGTATACATAAGATGTTTGTATCGATATTCGAAGATAGAAATTTCATTTATGTTTATAAAACGATACATTAACGTGTAATGTACTTGTATTCCCCCCCTAAAACATGAAAAAGAATTGAAAAGTAGGGGTATGAACTCACTCGTTAAGTTTGAAGAGAGGGACTAGAGTTAAGTAGAACTTCGATCGCGGATAGTTGCGTCGTCGGGCTCTTTGGGGATCTCTGCAATGTAAATCTTTCGTCGGGGGCTCGAGTGCGGAAACCGAGGTGAGGGGAGGGTCTCTGGAGCTTAGAAGTATGAGATAATGACTGAGGGATTGTGATTTGTGTGCAAAAACTCGAGCTTATGCCTTCTATTTATAGGGATAGAAACCCTCGTACGCGGCGCGTACCTCCGACGTACGCGGGGTGTACTTAGGTTACGTGGGGCATAACAATGCGTCATGGCTTACGACTCCTGGCTAGCTAAGCGTAGCTTGGGCGGGCCGATGGGACTCGACTCTGGGTCTAGTACGCGGGGCGTACTCCCAGAGAACGCGGGGCGTAATCCGCCCTGTCTTCTTCTAAATTCCGTAACTTTCGCGTACGAGCTCCGTTTTTCGTGTTCCTTATATCCACGCGTAGGTGAGATTATGCTCTACAACTTTCATTTAGACTCCGTCGGCTAGTTTTGTCTTTATTTTTAGGTCGGGCCTCCTAAAGTTCGTTTAAAAACTCATAGGTTCTTTATTCGACGTCGGTTTTTGTTTGTCTTCTCATCCATTTGTTCCTATTGCGGAGATCTTCAACTCTCATTTGGATTGCGTTAGCTAATTTACACTCGATCTTAAATTCGAGTTTTTAGCCCTCTACTACTGTTACGAAGCTTCGAAAATTCGTAACTTCTTCATACGAGGTCCAATTTGGGCGATCTTTTTATGCACGCTCACCTTTTAACGAGATCTACGATTTATGTTTAGATACTTAAGGCTAAAATGCACATTATTGAGATTTTACTTTTTACGTCAAATAATGTTTTAACGGCGTGTCGTAAATATACGAGTGGTTATAATTTCTTCAATATAACCCGGTTTTGAGCGTTCTTTATGTTTTCGGAAACCTTGACACGTTAATTAGTATTTGATACATCCCAACTTAGATATTTGAATACTTTATTTTCAAGGTTAATTTAGTTGTATTTGACTTTTGAGCGTTACAATGCTTTTGGAAAATATAGGGTTGTCACAGAAGTTTGGACAAAACATCAAACATTGGATATGCTCATTGTAATCAAACATTACATAATGGTTATGATGAATTATAATTTATCAATAAACGATAATGGTATCGATTTGTTTATAAAATAAAGACAAATTTTGCTTTGTTCAATCTTATATAGTCGTTCAAATTTTATAATGTTGTCCGAATTATAAAATGTCATCCGAATTTTATATGGTTATTGAAATTTATAATAATAATAATAATAATAACAAGATTAAAATATAAAGTAAAAGAAAAAAAAAAAAACAAAATGAGAGAAACAAAAAAAAAACAAAAGAAATGATATCAAATTAAAAGTAAATAATTGATTGGGAAGGTAAAATTGGTTAATGAGGTAGTTACAACACAACCATTTCATTAATTAACTTTCTTTGTAATTTCAAAATTTATAAATTAAGTTTATTAGTTTTATTTTTTTATTTATCTAAATTTAAAAGAGAAAAAACAATTTTATTTTAGTAATTAAATATTTTTTATAAATTCAATCTTCTTAAATATTTAAAATTTCATATTTTTTAAAATCAACCTATATAGTAGATTTAGACATTTAGTTATACTATCTATCAAAGGATTTGAAAGGATGCTATTTTCCCATAAATTAGAAAAAAAAAATTTATCTCAATTTATGGGTAAATGTTCCGGTCATCCACTTGAAATATATATCTACCGCCAGACGTCTTATTTAGCAACCAACGATCTCGCGTCCCTTCATCATCATCGTCCCTCTGTAAATTGACTCATACTTTCATCGTCAACCATCAAAGGTCTCATTCTCATTCTCATTCTCACCACCTGCTTATCTTCAACCCTACACTCCTACCCCATCAACGTCTTTCGCTACTTTAACAACCCCTTCTAGATCACTCGCCCCCATTTTTAATTCAACTTTCTAGGACCTATTGACACCTTTCTAACCATTCCCAGAAAAAGTGCAGGGATCTTTCGAGAGTTTTTTTTTTTTTTTATGTTTGTTATCCTTTACATGAAATCTTAATTGGTTAATTAGGGAAAAATCTATTTCAGGTTACTTGAATTGCTTATGAGTCTAAATTAATTGTTTACTTTTCCTTCCATCTAATTGATTGTTGATTCATTGAATTTGGGGGAAAAATCTATTTCCGTTTATTCCTACTTATTTTGGTTTGATTTTTGCAGCATAAAGTTGAAAAAAGATGTCCCAGGAGAATTCTTCCACTGTTGAATCGCCTAGAAGACGATCTGGTCTGCTAAGAGATCAAGTTCAGTTGATTAAAAAGAAGGATTCATCTCGATACGAGATTGCCCCAATCCAAGATCCTCTATCATTCGAGAAGGGTTTCTTCGTAGTCATCCGAGCATGCCAATTACTAGTTCAGAAAAACGAAGGCATTCTATTAGTCGGAGTAGCAGGTCCATCAGGAGCTGGGAAGACTGTATTCACCGATAAAGTCCTCAACTTCATGCCCAGCATCGCCGTCATAACAATGGACAATTACAATGATGCAACGCGTATTGTTGATGGCAATTTTGATGGTAATTACTCTTATTTTCTTCCATTCTGGTTGTCTCCTTAAGCTTCTCCGACTTCCATGGCAGTTATCTGACTGCCGTTTTCTTTGCTTCAGATCCAAGGCTGACGGATTATGACACATTACTTGATAATATCCGTGGGTTGAAGGAAGGGAACGCTGTCGATGTTCCCATTTACGATTTTAAGTCCAGCTCACGAATTGGCTACAGAAAAGTCGAAGTTCCTTCTTCTCGGATAGTCATTATTGAAGGGATTTACGCACTGAGTGAAAAGCTACGACCATTGCTGGATCTTCGTGTCTCTGTAACTGGTGGAGTACACTTTGATCTTGTCAAGAGGGTTTTAAGGGACATCCAACGTGTTGGTCAAGAACCTGAAGAAATCATTCATCAAATCTCTGAAACCGTATATTTCAGTTTGATTATCTTTATAATCGACTAATCATATATCTTTTCGAGTTTTGTTCTCTATATGATTCAAGCTATCCTTACACTCAGGTATATCCTATGTACAAAGCTTTCATCGAGCCTGATCTACAAACTGCACATATAAAAATTATCAACAAGTTCAATCCTTTCTCCGGATTCCAGAATCCCAGTTATATTTTGAAGGTTAGCTCCTCATTTACTGTTGAAAAGGGAATTTACATACAATGCTCATTTAAAATGACTGGTTTTTGTTTGATTACATAGTCTAAAAAGACAGTGACACCAGAGCAAATGAAAGCAGTTCTTTCTCCAGATCATCAAGAAAGAAAAGAAGAAACTTATGACATTTATCTTCTTCCACCTGGTGAAGATCCTGAAGCTTGTCAATCATATCTCAGGATGAGAAACAGAGATGGAAAGTACAATCTTATGTTTGAGGTATGCATGTATCTTTTACAAAGTCTTGATTTTTTTTATTTTGTATGGATAAAGTAAATTGTTATTTGTAATTTTTTTAGGAATGGGTGTCTGATAGTCCATTCATTATATCACCTAGAATCACCTTTGAAGTGAGTGTGCGTCTTCTTGGAGGACTAATGGCATTAGGCTACACAATTGCTGCCATTCTCAAAAGAAGTAGCCATGTTTTCTTTGATGAAAAGGTCTGCGTGAAAACCGATTGGTTAGAGCAACTTAATCGCACCTATGTTCAGGTATCTTATTTTAAACACCAACTTGTTAATATGGCAAAAAAGTTTTTATTTTTATTTTTATTTTTTCATGTTCCTTTGTTTTGATTGGCTAAGGTGCAAGGAAGGGATCGTTTGTACGTCAAATATATTGCGGAGCAACTAGATTTAGATGGTACGTATGTTCCTCGCACATACATTGAACAAATACAGCTCGAAAAAGCCGTAAATGATGTCATGGTATGTTGTTTCCTACCAAACTTTTACACAATGTGCCTGATAATATTGACATTATCAGACACTTTGTGGCTGATACGTATGTAATTCATACATATCAGCCACACATGCACACATCAGGCCCAATATGTTATTGGGTCGGAGATATGTGTGGAATGTGCATTTATAGTTATGGTCTTGATGTAGTCAAATCTATAGGCATTGCCAGATGATTTGAAGACAAAGCTTAGCATAGATGATGATTTGGTTTCAAGCCCTAAAGAAGCGTTATCTCGTGCCTCTGCTGATAGGAGATCCAAATACCTTAACCGGTACTTCTCATTATCGTATTAAAAAAAATACAAATTTTGTCACGTTGACATCAGTATAGGTCTCAATCCAATGCACACCAAACACAACAATTGTTTTGAGTTTTGATTTTTGTGCAACCACAGGGGTGGTGCGCATTCACTTTCGACACGCGAAAGGAATTTCTCAAAGCTAACAAAACTTTCTATTAATAGTAGGAGATTTGATGGACGGACACCCGATTCACCAGCACCGGTTGCAAATCAAGTAAATTTTAAAATCCATTTTTTTTAAAAAGTTTTTGTTGCGAGTTATTTAGCAGTTGTTTTGGTTGTTTTTAGGGAGTGATTACGCACTTATCGGAACAAATTTCTACTCTGAATGAAAGAATGGACGACTTTACATCTCGTATTGAAGAACTAACTTCAAAATTTTCTGAAAAAAGAGTACCGAGTCATCAAAATATAGCCGGGCAGACTGAACCGTGCAACGGGTCAGCAACTTCACTGTTCATGGCCGGTTTAGGAAACGGTCAAATGCTGCCCAATTCTGCATCTTCTAATCAGTTGGCTCGGGACCCACCTCTCATGGAAGAGGTGTACAATTCATACTTTTTAACTACCTTTCGTTTGAGTTTCAGATCTGACATGATTTTTTTTTTTTTTGTTTGAAAAGGTTTTAATGATAGCGAGGGGACAACGACAGGTGATGCATCAGCTTGACAACTTAAGCAACTTGTTACGTGAGTACATGACCGAAAAGGGTCAGGCTGACCGAGCAGAAAAGGGCAGCAGCAGATTGACCGGATTTGAGTCGGTTGGATTGCCCTTTGTGGTGACATTGACAATTGGTGGATTGGGTTTCTTATTGTGCAAGACTTTGTATTCCCAAAAGTAAACCCTTCTTGAAAATTTCCATTCTTAAGATAACTAAATAAACATGAAACATAAAGCTGAGATCAAAAATCTTATGTATCGTCTAACAGTGTAAAGAATCGGGTGAATGTTGCCCCAACAATTATACGAAGATATATGATATATATCAATTATCAATAGAAAAAACATTATTCCAAATACATTTGAGGTTTGTTTGGAGTTTGGACATGTAAACCCTGGCCTATCATCTATTTGCTGCGTACTTAAATTTAATCTGTCTTGCCAGGGTGCGTAGATGGGGGTTCTATGCCAGTACACTCATATCACTTACCAGATATTGATATCTATGTAGTGTATAATATAAGAGAACTACTGTTATAAAATTAATAAACTTTCATATTAAAAATTCAAAATTAGTATTCAACTATTTTAACTAAATTATTAATTAAGAGATATTACTTTTAATTATATAAAATTGTAACTGTTGATTTAGATTAATATGTGAAATTATATTATCTTATAATTTGTATTAATTTTATTTTAGTTTTATTCTAATGTTATTAATTTAATTTAATCTAATAAAAGTGAGAAATTTAAAATGAAGAATTAAATATTGACAAGTAATGTGACATTAATTAGAAGACTTGTTAGGAGAAAAATAAGCTATTTTTTATTAGAGTATATGGAGATGGAGATTGTTAATAGTTAATACAATGAATAATAATAATAATTTTATTTTAAAGTTATTCGTCATTTCAAAGTATTCCTGGGTAAATAAACTTTTTCTTGGGTTATTATTATATAGTTGGAGTGGATTTTAAACAGAAAAATCAATAACGGAGCTTGCACGATGTCCAATCGTTTATGATATAATTTTTTTATTTATGTTGATTTGACATTGATATGATGTTTTTGTAAGTTTTTTTATTTATATTTAGTTTTATATATTTTAAAGATTGTTACTATATTGATATTTTTTATTCTAATTATATTAAAATAAATAAAGATCAAGTGGACGTGATGTATTAGGTCACACTGGATGTAATTTAGTGTTATCAAAATGAACAATAATGTTAGCATTTTATTATGTTTTACTTCACGCTTAATTTTATTACGTTTTTTTTTTTTGACAAAAAAATCCATTTTAGTATCATTTCAGACTCAAATTTTGGATTCCAACTCAGAAAAAAAAAATCATTCTGAAATTTCAAAAATATGTTTGAAATCAGAAATTTCAAAAAGATGTTTGTTTTTTTTATTGAAATTTAACAGAAGTTCAAAAAATCTTAACAATAACGATACAAAAAGAGCATAAAATGTAACATTTTGTTGAAAATTTTGTGATATTTGACATTAAAAAATAGTCATTTCAAACATTGGTAGAGTTTTTAACAAGTGTTTTGTGCAAATGAGAAAAAAAAAATTCTAATAAATAAAGATTTTTTTTGCTACATGTTATAATTTTGTTTAATTTAATAAATATTATTTTGTGGATATTTTAAATTAATTTTTTTCACATATCATATCATAGGTTTTCTTATTTTATTAAATTCCACAAATAATAATTACAATAAATATAGTAATAAATAAACATCAATTTCATTAATAGACTTACCTTTTAATTTAAAAATTCTCAAATTAAAACCCATTAGTTTTTTTTTGTTTATTTATTTAAATTATTTGTTTAAATTTAAATAATAAAAAAACATTTCAATTTTAATAATTCATTAATTTTCTTATTTTCTTATAAACTCAAAATTCTCAACCTTTATACTTAATTTTTTTAAATTAACTCATATAATATACAAATCTCACAACTATTACTCATATTATACTCGTTAAAGCCCCATGCTAAGTGCAAGAATGATGGTTAATATTGCAAATGCCCAAAAATTGTCCTTTTTTTAATCTTTGTGTGAATATCTGTAAATAATATGTAACATGTGAGCTTATGAGAACATGATTACAATAGTAATAAACATTATTAGATATGGTAAAAAAAAATTATTGATTAAATTAAAAATATATTAGTATATACATAGTATTTGAGATAAATTACAAAAAAATGGATCATTAGACTAACTGGATCCAGCTAGTTTCTCCTCGAATGATACTCTGTGGACTGAATTCAACTATAAATGATGAGAGACATGTAAAATCTTGGTTAAATAATTTCACATTTGTTGTTCCTATAATAACACCATTCTAGTTCTATGATGACTAGTACTTGAATAATGAACTGCTTTAGAAAAATAGCATAAGTTGAAGTCTTTTTGGCTACAAAAAACAGATTTATGTGCTTGGTTTTGGTCATGAATATTTAAAATAGGGAGATAGCTAAGGTTGGTGATAAATTTAAACAACTGATACTAATACTGATAAATTCAAGTGCATAAATAAAGAAAGATACAAACAATTGTGTTCTCAAAACATAGATGCAGCAAGTGAAGTAATTTCTGTAGCAACTTCATCATATTCAGTTTTCAATTTTTGCTGGATTTCCTCTCCAAGTTCTCCCTTTGTTGGTTTTGGGAGCACCAAAACGCAGCATGTTGGCCTCTTTGTAGCACCTGCATTTGCTAGATCCTGCAACCACCATAAGATTTTTCTCATGTCAATGTCCATGGCCAAGTCTAGATAAAAACCAAGGGGATGTAAAATAAAAATTACTTCTTTTGATGTAACATAAACATATGGTATCTCTGCTTCTTCACATAGTATTGGAACATGAGTTATCACATCGATCGGAGTTATGTTTCCAGCAATTACACACACCCTGCATTCATCCATGGATTCACCTTGATGTTAACATGTATATTTCTAGATTAAATAACCAACTAACGATCTATAACTCATCAACATAGATGGGATCTAATTTCATACAATCAATTTGCATAAACAAATCTCGCTAACTTACCCTTTATTACCGCGTCTGATGCTCTTCACGACCTCCTTCACTCCTCTTTTCAAGCATTTGTGTTCGGCAGCTAAATAACATCAAAACATGAACATATAAAGCTAAGTTTCACCATGTTCGTTGAGATTAAATATGAAAAATCAATGGAGAAAAGTGTGCGAGATTTGATTGATTGTACCTTTGCGGACGAGTTTGAGGGTGCGTTTGGAGAGTTTTTTGCCAGCAAGGGGTTTAGCGATTGGAGCTAAGGCCTGAAGCTTCTTCTTTTCCTTCTCCTTGTGTGCTGATTTCTCTACTTCACTATCGCTTCCTCCCATCTCTTCTGTATGAATCGTGAAATCAAGGGGGCAAAACTAAAGCAGCAGAAGTAGGGTTTATTTTCGCAACTTTTGATTTTAGGGTTTAAGGAGGTGGTAGGCTACTGAATTTTAATAATGTAACGACAAACTATACTCCCATTTAAATTTATAGTGTGTTAATTATTTTTGGTTGTAATATAATTCTTTTTGAAAGCTATTCTTTGTGGACGAATTAGACCAACAATATAATATATGTACAGTTTATACCCCCAACACACACACATTTTTTTTTCTTACTTTTTACATCATATCTACTATAATAAATGAAGATTTTTTTGCCACATATTATCTTCTCATTTATTTGGACACATGATATTTTCTAACATTTTTAAATTTTCTATTTTTCACTTGTTATTTTATTGTATTTTTCAATTTATTAAATTAAAATTCCACATTTAATGTGTAAGATAATATATATATAAAGTATTTATTAGAAAAAGTTTATATATGTAATGTATTCAACACATTAAAGTCTTATTAATTTTAATAATTCAAATTTTTCTTATTTTTCTTATAAATTCAAACTTTTCAAATTATTAAAAATTTATATTTATTTTTTTTAATTAAACCCATGTAATACATGGGTCTCACATCTAGTATATATATATATATATATATATATATATATATATATATATATATATATATATATATATATATATATCCTCAATCTAATACTCATTTTTTTCATTGGTTATTTGGAATTAATATATTTATTTTGATAATAGAAGATAAATGAATAAAATGAAATAAATAAAAAGAATGAGAAAAGGGTAAGTGAAGTGAAGTGAAGATATTCATACACATACACAACGAATCAAATTTCATACATTGTGAACATATTAATAACCAGATGACGTTATGTTGTATTTTTGTTGTATTTTACAACTTTTTTTTTTTTTTATATTTAAAATAGTACACATGCATATGCAGAAGGATTATAGCAAAGAGTTTGAAACAATGAAGTCTTGAGTTAATAGCGGGGCATCACCAGAATGATGAATTTCATCAAAAACATCACCAAAATGGTCAAGACATAAATCTAAAAGGAAAAAAGTTTCACCTGTTCATCAAGAACTTAACAAAGCTTCACTTATAGTAAAAAAAATATGAAATTTAAAGAAGTGTAACTATCAAAAGGAAAGGCTTCACCTACATATCCGGTTTCTCTTAAATTTGATTTTTTTTAAGGGCAGCGACTTCATTTAAAAACAAAATCCAACGGACAACTAGACCAAATACGAAAAAAAAAAGTATAAAAAGCTAAAAAATAGACTAAAAGATATTATAATTTCAAGAATAAGACGAAACACTAAAACCTAAGGTGAATTCACCAATTTTGAGATGAGACATTTTATAGCAACTAGGTGAATTCTACCATTAGTATTATTTTATTGTTGTTTTATATTCATTATTAATATTTTTTTATGTTATTTGTATTTGTATTTTATATTTATATTTGTCTATATCTATCATTGCTTTATTATTATTATTATTATTATTATTATTATTATTATTATTATTATTATTATTATTATTATTAATTAATTAATTAATTAATTAATTAATTAATTACAAAAAAATATAAACCAAACAAGAAATCTTAAAGTATTATATTATCATCCTTAACAAATGAATGTTTTTTTGTCACATGTCAATCTCTCATGAATTTTGATAGTTGTCATTTTGTGGTATTTTTAAAATAAATATTATCCACTTGTCAAATTTTGGTTTGTTTTATTTTTTAAAAATTAAAGTCATATAATTATATATGCAAAGTATTAAATATGATATATATGATATTAAATTGCAATAAATATGTTTCTTTCTTTCTTATTTTAAATTTGTACATTAAAAAATATTTTATGTTTACACTTTAATTTATTGTTTATTTTTTTTTAAATCAACTCGTGTAATAAATAGGTTTCACATCTAGTATTAATCATACCAAGTGTAAGGTTCATATATTACACGAGTTGATTAAAAAATATTAAATAAAAAAATATAAACAATAATATTTTTAAAATAAAATAAGAAATAAGAAATAAAGAAAGTTATTAATTGCAATTTATTATCACATTCATTACATTTAATAGTTTACATATATAACTATAAGTATTATGTGGTTTTTTAATTTATAAAATTTATAAAAATTAAAATTGACATGTGGATATTATTTATTTTAAAATATCATAAAATCATAAGTATCAAAATTCATAAAAGATTGACATATGAAAAAAAGAATCTTCATTTATTATAATAGTAGATTGATTGATTAATTTGAAAAATGGTCTACCATTTAATTGCAATTTCAATACATATCTAAGAAAAAAATCATAGTGAACTAAATTACAAATTTATTTTATTTCATGTCAACAAAACTAGACCCCTGCATCAACTATACTAAATTCCATTTCGATCCCTTTAAATTTAAATTATTTTGAGTTTTGACCATTCTAATCCTTAAATATCGACTCATGATTCTCATTTTCCCAACTAACGAGATATGTCATGTGTGTCGCAAGGCATGTTTGGACTCTTTTGGGGAGCATGCAGTTCACTGTAAAGAACTCTCAGGGTTCAAATACAGGCACGATATGGTTAGGGATATCGTGTTTGATATATTTAAGCGTATCGGGGTTTCCGTTAAGAAAGAGGCACCTGTTAATTTATTGACTGACCCGACAGAAGGAACGTCAACCCTCAGATCGGCTGACATTCTGATTTTTAGATGTGTCGGAGGGAAACACGCATGTGTGGATCTTACAGGGGTATCCCCTCTCGTGGGCCTGAGGGCTGGAGGTTTCACAGCGGGACATGCTGCTTCAAAAGCAGCCACAAACAAAGTCACCAAAAATGAGAGATCGTGCCTGAAAAATCAACACGTGTTCATACCATATGCATTTGATACATTTGGTTGTCTCGCACCGGATGCGATAGAGCTTCTTAAAAGAGTACAACGAATTATGCATAGTAATGTTATATCCCCTAGATCTTCGGATATAGTCTTTAAAAGAATTAGTTTTATCATTCAAAAAGGCTTAGCGATACAGCTTGTTGAACGTTTGCCATCTCACTCATTGTACGATGATAATTAAAAAACTATTATTATTTGAATTTTTAAATCCTTAAAAGGTATTTGCAAATCTTAAGTTTGCAAATTCATCATTTCATTAAAAAAAAATTCCTATGAAGATACTCCATGTTTACCAGCGAGCTTTTGAGAGGTTTTAAAAAATTTTGGATAAATTTTTTTTTTTTATCAAAATGGTTCGTACGGTAATTTGAGCTTTAAACTATTATTTGAAATTAGAAGTTCTTGATTCAAGAGCCAACTCAAGTAGATATTAAGAGATTTATGTTGTTTTTTTTTTTACCCGGGTCGATCCGGCCGGTTCAACCGGTTGAACCGTGATCCAGGGTAGAAAACGGGTCAATTGAGAACGATTTTTTGTAAAAATACAGACCGGATCGAACCGGTTGGGTTTCCCCTAAACCGCGGTTCAACCGCTTATGTTGAATCGGTTAAAACCGAATTGGCCCGTTTTAATAGGGATTTGATAGTTGGATACAAGTAGCGAACGCAAAAACAACGAGCCGTTTGCGGTTTTTTCAAATTATTGGTTGTATATGTTTATGCATTATGAAGGAAAGTAAAAATATATAAAAATAGAAAAATACCATAAACCGGGTTGACCCGGCGGTTAAACCGGTTGACCAGTGAACCGGTAATCACACCAGATCAACTAAAAACCCAGTTTTAAAACATTGACCACATGTCCATTTTCATGTTTCACTTTATCCCTTGACCTATCATCTCATTCCCATTTAGTCCTTTGATTTTATTATTATTTTTTTAATTTACCACCAAAAGTACTCCAAACTTTTGCCAACATTTTTACAATAATTAACCTAAAGTTAACAAAATTCCCGTATAACCATCAATTTTCATTGTGAAATGCTTATAATTTTTTCATTTTTAAAAAAAGTACTTTGAAATTCACTGTGTACTTTTGGAAAGAAAGAAAAAAAGAAGAAAAAAAAGCTATAAGAAAGATAACACTATTTGTCTCTCTTTTATAATCCATCTCTAATAACCAATTACTTACACTGTCATAACCATAATAACAAGAAATTTACTTTTTTCTACAGTTCATAACAATTTATGACCTGAGCAACAAGTTGTTGGTCTATTTTTTGCTGACTTGGCATTTGATTTAACGTCTAAATATCTACATGGCTGCCACATCCGATTAAACAAGCGTACTCTTTTATTAAAAAGTTTGAACATAAGTACATATCATAGTGAACAACATCCCAAATTACAATTTACCCTTTTGTCCAGTTTGAGTCAACTTCTGTCTCAAAACCCTTCTCATCACCTTGTTTGATGCAGTCCTAGGAAGCGATGCAAATGGCACCACATCAGAAACCTAAACAAAAACCCAAAACTCAAAATTAGAGAATTTATAACATTTCAACAAAATATTTCCAAAATGATGATACCTTAAACAAAGGGTTCAGATTCTTCTGTAAAGCCGAATTCAATGTCACCCTCAACTTTTGTAAGTCACTTGTGGAACCATCCTCGTTTTTGAAAACAACCACAATCACCAACCGCTCGGGCCCACCGCCAGGTGGCGTAACCCCAATGGCGGCTGTCTCGAGGATTCCATCATCAACCGAGTTGCATATCTGTTCAATTTCAACTGAACTTACCTGTAAAACCAACCATACTCCTTTTTTAAAACGGTTTCCAAAATAGTATGAAAAGGGCATTCACATCTTTTGCACAGACCCATTGACATCATAATCATTATCATTATCAGTCTCACTCCCAGTCCAAGTCCAAACACAGTACAACCTGATCTGTCATTATCCTACGTGATTAAGTTTTCAATTTGAGGCCAAATAGGTGAATCTTGATATCAATGAAATGAATTCTTTGGAACTTGTGTAAAAGAGATATGAATATCAAAAATGCAAAATCATGCCTTGATGCCACCAAGATTCATGGTATCATCTGCACGACCATGAGCACGATAGTATCCTCTAGATGTGAGCTCAAATACATCTCCGTGTCTTCTTAGAACCTATTATAAAAAAAACATTTAATAAAACATGAGTTCAAACCCTAATTCATTTATTCTATAAGTAACATCACCTTTCACTTACCTTCCCATTCCAAGAAGGCATGCCTTTGAAATAAACATCGTAGTGGTTAGCATTTAGCAGTGTGCTTGATGCTCCAAACATTAAGGGATTAAGAGCTAGTTCACCAACTCCAGACACATTTGGTGGCTATAAACATCAAATAGATTTACACCTAATCCGTATTAATCCATGATTGACCATAAAAACTAATAAATTGCAATTTTTGTCCCATTGACATCAGTCTGAGTCTGATGCATGTCAAATGCAGTACAATCTGTCGTGTCCTGTGTAACAAACAAACGATTGTGCTTACCATGGGGATACCGTTTTGGTCAAGAATGAAGAGATTACATCCCAAACTTGGTGTGCTGAATGCAGACAGACATTGGGGCTGTAGTAATGATCCGGTGATAAAACCACCACCAATCTCAGTTCCCCCACAATACTCAATGACTGGTTTGTATTTAGCTCTTCCCATCAACCAAAGGTATTCATCCACACTAGACGCCTCTCCCGTTGACCCAAAGCAACTAACAAAGTTGAAAATAAGCTCATCTTAGAAGATAAAAACACAAAGATTATAATCTCTTCATCTCTCGTCTATGCAAAAGACGAAAATACCCTCTTTGTCATCAAAAACTCACCGGATGGTTGACCAGTCGAAGCCAGCTGTACAATTGTTTGTTCTCCATGCCCTTACAATACTTGGGATCACTCCCAACATTGTCACTTTTGCATCCTGAAAAGTTTGCGCAAATAAGGGTAAATTTGGAAAATGTTAGGACTTACCAGATTAAGTTCTGTCCCCAATAAGTAAAAGAGATACAACATGGATTTAAAAGGCAAAAAATACGTACAAGTTATGAAACAACCTGAACAAACTTGGCAAACCCAGAACCAAGTGGAGCTCCATTATATAAAGCAAGTGAGGCCCCGTTTAATAAGGAAGCATAAACTAACCATGGACCCATCATCCACCCAAGATTTGTGGGCCATGCCACCACATCACCCTTGCGGATGTCCATGTGGCACCAACCATCTGCACCAGCCTTGAAAGGTGTTGCAAGAGTCCATGGGATTGCCTTTGGTTCCCCTGTGTAAATTTCCTTTATATTAGTTAACAGAAGCAATAGGTTTGATAATAAAAATGCTTAGATTCAATTTGGAGACATTATCTTTTAATGTTGTCTACCTGTAGTTCCTGAAGAAAAGAGGATATTTGAAAACTCTTCAACTGGTCGTTCAACAGCAACAAACTCGACATTCCTGTATATTTTGATTTGTGAATTGACTGAATTCAGAAACAGAAACAGGTTATAAACATTTAGAGTGTTGTTTTGCTTTGTTACTTAATCGGCTTAATGGGTTAAGCACTTTACCCATACAGGATTTAATACATAATATATTAATATATGGTAAAGCTATACACAAAGAAGCAAACATACTTGTAACTTTTAACTTGTTCTAGAAAATCATGCCAAGAAATGTCACCATCACGTAATTTCATACTAAATCCCGAGCCTCTTGTAGGAATGACAATTGCCATTGGTGATTGAGCATCAACAACTCGGCTGCAGAATTTATTTGAGAATTGTGTTATTTGAAAAAAATAATAATAAAAAAAGAAGCTAAAAAGGGTATGAAGGTCATTTTCAATGAGGGAATTGAATACAACACCTGTATAAAGGAATGCTTCTGTCCCCACGAATGATTAAATCCTGAGGAACAACATTTATTGATAAGAGATATGGATATTGTAAAAGCGGGCCCACACTGTCCCACCCGAAAACAAATGTAAATCAGGTACACAGTGGTCTGCCAAGTGGCTGACATGTCACCACAAGGGGACAATCCACATTGGAATTGAAACTTTTGCAAATACCTGTGTGAAAATTGCTTTTGCTTTTGATAGTACAAGTCTTGTAGAAATTTCGGTTGGAGCAAAACTATCTGCAATAGATACAACCACATGGCCTGAAAGGACAATTGCCAGATATATCACTACAGAATTGACATCCATAGGCATATCAATCGCAATTGCAGATCCTTTTTCTAATCCCAGAGTTCCAAGAGCATATGCGACTAACCTAATCATAATCCCAAAAAAAATCACAATAATTAGAGTAAAAATGCCAACTAAATGTCAGAAAAAGGTGTTGATATGAGCAATTTAGCTTACCAAACCTCTGAACGCAATTTCTCGAATGTCATTGTGTTCACTGGTGTTTCATCGTCACCTTCATCACGCCATATCACTGCTATATCACTTGAAATCCTTTTGCTACTCAAACTTAAACAATTTCCAGCAGGATTTACATAAGCTCCAGGAAGCCATCGACCTCCTGGATGCAATAACTGGGTTTCTTCAGATGGATCATCGACTAATATTGATTTTGGAGGCACAGAAAATGCTATGTTCATTTCAACCAGTATCGTTTTCCAAAACACCTGGCATAACGATGATTATGATCCATCGGAATGAAAAATTTAATGGTTTGAAAAGGGTGAGATGTAGATGTACCTCAAGATTTGAGGCTGAAAACTCATGAAAAGTAGAGTAACTCGAAATGGGGTCTTTATAATTGGGACCCAGGAACTCCTTCCCTCTTCTCTCTAATAAACTACCTATGTTCGTTAACAACGCCTCCTCCCTAATCATGCCAGGAAAAAAATCGAACAATGTAAGCATAGAGAAACAATCAACGTCAACTACCAAATGCAAAATTGATATCCGTAGTGCTTGTTATGAAGTTTATTGTTGATCATCAACTTTTTGCACGGACAAATTCATAGAATACACATGATTTTTTCACTTGAAATTATTCGTTTGAATGTTTTCGCGAGCGAGAAATTTGAAGTAAATTTGTGCTACCCAAAACTAGCTTCGATGAACACTAATTGCAACAATTTTCAAAGGGGAAGTCGGAGCTTACGGGTCAGGTAACCAGGCGGGAGGATCGGGTCCGAAATCTTTGTAGCATCCATAATACATCATCTGATGAAAAGAGAAAGGAAGGTCCGGATTGAGAAGTCGGGTGGAGATTTGATTCCATGTCTGAGGAGTAGCAGGGCCGTAACTCTGGATGATTTGAGTGAGCTCCTGATGAAGTTGCGTGGCAGTTTCCGATGGGATACCCAGCTCTACTATGTCCGAAGAGTCAATAGAGTCGAGGGATTTGTACACCATTGTTGATTCTCTGAGATTTCTTCGATGGCTTTCAAAGTCTCTGTAGTTTCTACAAATTGTTAACGATCTTCCAAGAGAGAGAGAGAGAGAGAGATAGATAAGGCTTATAAATAGACAGTAGATGATTAGATAATATCGTTTCTAAATCCTATCAAAATTAATTGTTTTCGATTAATTACGAGAAAACTGTCAAGATGCGGCCCTCGTAAAAATCAGGGAAAATTATTTAATATGGTAACATAATACCCCGTAGCCGAATTATCCACTTGGTTTTTTCGGACATCGGATAAATTTTTTCGGATAATTGGGTAACCTGATTTTTCTTAGGTCGGGTGTAGGGTATGTTTGTTGGGTTTCGGGTATACTTGAATTACCAAAATTATTTTAAAAATTCATTTTTTTCTTAGAGTTTGTACTATTGCAACTAACAAACGGATTATCATGACGAAACTTTAGAATATGACAAAACTTATGGTTACAATTATCTTAAATATTTTAAAATTTTAAACTAAGATCTTTAAGTATTTGTTTTTTAACATCTTATTAAATTAGATTAAGTTGTTAAAAGATTACCTGAATTACCCAAACTCGAATTACCCGAATTTAATTTGGATCGGATAACGGGTATTATTTTTAGCATGAAAAACCTGAATTACCCAAAATTCGAAAAAAATTGCACGATCAACACCCCTAGGTAATATAGTTTTGTTATATTAAGTTAGGTCTTTAACTTTTCTTGTAAAACAAACAATTATACTTGATTTTTTTGTAATCATGAAATCTTTTTGACCGGCTATACTCGGTATACTGACCATATACGATTTTCCATTTATTTTGGTGAAACAAATTACACATGTGGCGTCCACATGACAATTTATGTGGATAGGTACATATTACACCGCTATTAAGATGATAACAAGCAATTAGGGCTCATTTATTGAGCCGAGATTCCTCCATTATACCACTCATAGCCCTCATTCCTCCCAAGCTTCTTGAATCACAATCACATTCGAAAATAGTAGAAGATGGAAATCCAACCGTTGATGTACACTATAATGAGACGTTCACATCTACCATATTGGTGTATTTTGATGCAAACTGTAACATCCCAACAAATTTTAGATAAAAATTCCATTTTTAATTCATTCTAAAGTATCAAATAATCATATCAAATCAATCAAAAGTATGTCATAGTGAAAAGTCATCAGAGTACAAAATCCCAAAATATGGAAAAAAAAAAAAAACATGGGCAGATATGGTGTGATCATGTCAGGCTCTTCCCTTTCGAGCTGGAAGTACTTGAAACATAAACTTAAATCATAAACACAAAGCTTAGTGATCTCCCTCAAAATACTTCACACTATACATACATAACAACCAAAACATAATTGAGTCTATTTCACTCCCTTCGGCCTCTTTCAACCGGTACTAGGTATATTTCACCCCATTCGGTCTCTTTCGACCGGTATTGAGTCTATTTCACTGTAACATCCCAAAATTCAAGCCCAATTTTTTTTTGTTATTTAAGTATTGCATAAAACCGATCAATATAAAAACTTTCATAATAATATCTCATGTCAAAACCAAAGTGTCAATAATCAAAACATAGTATCATAAAACCATATCAGAGTAAAATCTCAAAGATCCCGTGTGCGGAAAACATAGTGTGATGCGCTGCGACCAAACCGACTCCCTTCCTTTGTAACAAAGTACCTGAAACACATAACACATAACACATAACACATAACACGATAAGCACGCATGTTTAGTGAGTTCCCCCAAAATACCACGCACATATAATTAGCCACTCGAGGCTAAAACTTAACGAGACCTTCCGGCCAATGTGTCTCAGTGGGACCTTCCGGTCCCACAACTCCGGTAGACCTTTCGGTCCTACTCTGTTGACCTTCCGGTTCATACTCTGATGACCTTCCGGTCCAAACCCTGCAAGCTCATAGGATCTACATATCACATAGATAAGAACATATGTCACATAAACAAAATGCATAATACCACATAGACAAATGCATAATATCATATATTTTTTATGTGAAAACCCTAATTTCACTTGGGTTTATTGTTGGGCCTTGATGATTGGGTTATTAATGGGCCATCCAAGATCAAGCAAATGTACTAGAATAATTAATGGGCTTTGATGTAAGGCTCGTATGAGGAGTTGGGCCCAATTTGGAAAATTGGGCCATAAATGGGTCATAGTTTTGGCCTTTATGATTATGTGGTATTGGGTCATTAGAATAACAACTGTTAGACTGGACTTTTTGGTTGGGCCTTAGAATAAGACCATATGGGGGTATGGGCCCAATTTGGAAAATTGGGCCATATGTTGGGCCTTGATTCCTAGTTTGACTTTGGGCCTTGTGCTTGAATAAAGCCAAGCAATGGGTAATGTAGTAATTACCCAAAATATGTACTTATGGTTACGTAGTGGAACCCAATTATTAATTAGGTCTTATTTTGGTGTTGACAGTTCGGGAATCTGTCATCCAACAGTTGGGGTTGAGTCAGCGGGATGAGTTACCTTCCAGTAGGGGTGGGTCTAAGGCCACAATGCCGACCCACCGACAGGAGTAATTGGTAGATAATTGTATTGGTGATAATTATCTTAGTACGCTTATACGTGATATGTGATATATGTTTTATTTTATATTCCATGTTAGGAGTTTTGCCTGGTTCGGACCGAAAGGTCGACAGGGTTTGGACCGGAAGGACACCAGAGCAGGACCGGAAGGTCAACAGAGTTGGGCCGGAAAGTCAACAGAGTAGGACCAAAAGGTCTACAAAATCAGAGCCGAAAGATCTTATGAGCTTACATGAGTTATGTGATATTATGTAATTTGTTAATGAGATATTGCATGCATCATGGTGGCTACTATGACTCCCGAACTGCAAAGGTTCTATAAGTATTATTGACCTTATGATATATGTAAGGACTTGATGGAGAAGTACCATCAACAAGCCCATCAAGACAGGTACGAAATAGTCAAGTCACTCATAACCAGCAAGATGAAGGATAGAGAGTCTGTCACGACCCACTTGCAACTCATGCAACGTTATGTGAATCATCTATTGAAGCTCACTGTTAAATTTGATGAGGAATTGACTATTGACAAAGTCTCGCACTTGCTGCCTAGCGGTTTTGATCAGTTTGTTATGACTGATCATCTGAACAAGGAAGAAATTACATTGAGTCAAATCCAAAGCTTGCTGAGAACTGCCAAAAGTGGGATGAAGGGAAAGAGTATTGCCTCCACTTTTTCTGCTTCTGATCCCGTCATGACTATAGGGAATGGGAAAGGGAAGAAGCGGAAAGATTCCTCGAAACATAACTGGATGGGAAAGTGTCAAGTTGGGTCGTTAAGTAATGGCCCTAAAGGCAAATCTAGTTCTGAAGCTCCCTCTGCCTCTGATCCGAAGGAGGCTACTTGCTTTTACTGCCATGACAAAGGGCATTGGAAGAGAAGTTGCCCCGAGTACTTGCAAGATTAAGATGCTCAGATCTGATAGAGATGATGAGTATCTTAGTCTGTTTCCTCCATTTGGCGATCCAACATCATCTAGATCATCATTTGTACTCCGGTCATTGTGATTGGCTCAGGTGCAACTTCTACTATAGGTACCCGCTCCACCACTTGGGGTTGAGGTTGCTGATTTCTGTTTGCATTTTCGGCTTCACTTCGGGTTTTCGCCATTATTATCTATACATCAAATTAGGCAAATTTAGATCTTCATTCACAATGAATATTTAAATTCTCCTTATCTCTCCGAAACATTACATGATAGTTCTAATATCGTAGTTTTACGCTTAGAATCCTGAACACATAAGGTTTCCAGATCCGGTCGGCAACAGACCATAAATCCGAACAAATAATGACATCTATGGAAAGCGTATATCATTAAGCACATAAAAGCATTTTAGGCATCTTTTCTAAAATATACTTGTGCTCATGTTTAAAACATGGTAGACACTCATCTCACAATCATCACTTAGCATTCTAAATTTAAGTCTAGAAATCCTACAAATTCCTAGTTCACTTAAACTAATGCACTTATACCAAGTGTGACATTCCCTAATTTCTCGTCCAGAAAATACAGATTTAGTTTATGCTTTAAAATAAAATCAGAGAAATCTCTCTGATAAAAATATGGTGGAATTTGTCCCAACACGAAATATGATAAAATTTTATCAAAGCATTTCTTAAAAAATGTATTTTCATTATATAACAAAACCACGGGATGTCATGTTCCAATACAGACCAAAAGCATAAACAATATATTATAGACCTTACAACAGATATTTACATCTAATGGCCTATAATCCAAAAATCTCTCTCCATCATCCAACTATGCTCTGAGTCCACTACCTGTAATATGAAAAGCTGAGTGGGTCAGGCTTGGGAGCCTAGTGAGCATATAGGTTTTCAACCCACAAATAATAAATTTATTAATTTCATTAACCAACCATAAATTTATTAATTTCATCAACCAATAATAACCCTGATTACCCGTTCTCATTATCATCACTTTACGTCCCTAAACACCTATCATAAAGGACCTAGCCTAAGGATCATCATCGGGATGAACACTACTACTAAGGGGATTCCTCAGCCATACATGTCCTTATGGCAATCATGAGGGGGGGGGGGTGGAATACACAGGTGAACACATCGTTCATAAACACCTATAGGTTGCGAGCCTTCCAGGGTTCCACTAGACTGTCTAGAAAGGTCTGTGGTCATCATCTATACTCCACTAGATGACTAGAACAACAACAACAACAACATCGAGGCCTCTCATCATTTTAACACACATCAACTATTTCATCTACCCATGTTATACCTAACATATTTGTAGTTAAAAATACATATACAGTTTAAATCATTTTAAAACCTGTATAAAACATTCATTCAACACCCATCTCAAATAAACAAACACGGAATATACACATAACACGTATTTTATAAAAAATACTTCATATCTATGTGTAAGATGAAAGTGACTATACACTCACATGTTTTAATGATAATTAGGCAACACCTCGACTCTTAAAATAATATTTTCTGATGAAACCGGGATGTTTTCTCAAAAACCGAGCTTCATGCGGGTAGAGTTTCGTCTCGAAAAACTCTTCTCTCGGGATCTTCAGGCTCTCCGAGACTTG